TCTCATTCTGCCAACAGGATATAAGCCATAATTTCCTTGTATTCCCCTTTCCAAATAAGATCTTATCATGGGAAGTCGCAGACCGATTTCTTCCTGCCCTGCACTTTGTGTGGTCAATTGTACGGGTGCTAATGACTACAGAGATGCAAGGAAATGACAGGTTAAGGGTGCCACCGGGACAGCAATCCATCTGGACAAGGGCAAAAATTGCTGTTTACAGCAGCACCAAAACTACCCTCCTGCACGGGTGTGGAAATCACAAGGAATTCACAGGATGCTTCCTGCAGTGAGACAGGGAAGGAATCTCTACTTCCTCTCCCATCTGCTGGCACACAGACATGCTGTTCTTTAATAGGTTAGAGATCACCTCCTTGGAAATTTAAGAACAAGTTGGACAAAGCCTTGTCGAGGATGGAACAGATGCAATGACCCAGCCTAGAGCAGGAGCCTGGACTAGATGACTTCCTGAGGTCCTTTCCAGCCCTGCTTTTCTATGACACCAATTCTACACCCAGGTGGTCACGTGTAGCTTCCCGAAAGAACGTGGAAGAAAGATAGCACTGGATTCAGCGTACACATTTGTGCCCCACACAAGCTATGTACAGGCTACTGGAGAGCTAAGTCAGGGTTATGGACTAACATGGTGATGTCCTCAGCAGCCCTCCTCCTACATGTTACAAGGCGGGTCATGACAACAGGGATGCCTAGGGCACAGTGCTCTTCTTGGAATGATACCAACACCGCAAATGCCACAAGGGGCTCTTGTCGATTGCCCACCTCTTCGTTCTCAATCTTGAGCGTGGACAATCTGGACTGCAGCTGCTGGCATCTCTGTACCAACTCACTCTGGACTGGCTGCTGGGCACACAGCTGCGACACCTGTAAAGGAAAAGAACAGCACTCCTGTGAGAACTCCAGAACATGATGGCATGGGGACCTTGCTGCAGCCTGCTAAAAGTCTTTTACTGAAGGGCAAACAACTCCATGACAGCTTTAAGGTCCAGTTTAGACTGAATCAACCCCAAGTAGCAAACTCTTGTTTTACAGAATTACTACTCCTTCCCCCCCAAAGATGCATGAAGCAGGACAGGGAAAACAGAAGGGCTGAAGAGAGCTAGGAGAAGCGACACCTGCTGTGGTCTAATCCTGTGGCATCAGGTTGTAGTCGTGAAGGTGCATAATAAACTGCAGCTCAGATTAAGCCCAGCATCTTCAAGGCGGGACTGTTTGGCAGCAAGAATTAGGTCCTATGAGTCAAGTTCACCATGCAGTCAGGCTGTTTAGTTTCCATAGCAACAGGGAGGATTCCCTGTTTAATACATCCCATACATTTTAAGACCAAACAGTAGGCCAAGCACCTGTTCAGATGCTAAACCAGCATGTTCGCTTGATGCTGCTAAAAATGCTCAAGGTCTCTCTGCGCACATCAAGAAAGCTCTTTGGTAAGAGTAAAATGCTTGTGTTGTGGCATGCCGCTGTGATTTTTTTCAGATACAAACTGCAAGCCAAGTTCATGCATATATAAAAAGCAGACCTCATCGCATGCATACAAACCCCGCCCAGCAATGCTGTAAGAATTAGACAAACCTTCCTGCACACAACAAATATCAACTCAACAACACTGGAACGTCACATTACTGCACAATGGATATTTTAGAGAAGAGGCAGAAAATAAGGATTAGGAACAGGGTTAGCCAGGCAACAATCCGAACACAGACGGTTTCTATTTCGCTTGCTAAAGCTGTGTCCTTTTGCTATCCTGGAACGCTATCAGTGCACGTGTAATAGATAAAAGACCTTTTGCCAGGTAAGGAAGGCTAAGAGACAAACAAAAATATCTTAAAAAGAATCTGTATGCCTAGGATAAACTAGAAGTATAAGCAATTAACCCCAGTTATTACACTGCAAAAGTCCCATTTAAAATCTGCAAGCTGGCTTCATCTTGCATTACTTCCCAAGGCTCCAGATGAGCAGACACAATGTGGATGAAGCGGTAAAGCAATCGATTTTCATCACCAAAAGTGAAAATCCTTCTGTTGCCTTGTGTCACCACGAAGATGTATGAAGCACCACCAGCCATTTGTGCTCTGACACAATCCACTCAAATGCCTCATGAAACTGCATTTAACAGCACCTGCTCGCTCTCTCTTCTCAGACACTTCAGGACTCTGGGAATCAGCTTAGGTAACAAACACAGATTTATTTATTTTTTTTGTAACGGAGAAATTCTTCCAGTTACACCATGTTAAAGGAGCTACATGGAATAAGCAGCATTTCTGCAGTGAAGGGTGCACACAAATGCTCCCCAGTTCAATCTTGGGGAGGATGTGCAGGTAGTGAGAGAAGGCAATCTAAAGTTCTCCATTCAGAGCTGGCCGCTCCACCCTTTTGCAGCACCCTCCAGAAAGCCACATCAGTGGAGAGCAGAGTTGCTCATCAGTGTTGGAGCACACCAAGCTACGGCTCTAAGAGCAGAAGATCCTTGCTTGGCACATAAATGGACCACCAAAACAAGCATCCTAGCATTTTACAAGGCTTCCAAAGGAGATGGATTCTGGAAGCGTCTTGAGTCCTGACAGTCCCCATAATTTACCTGCCCAGTTAGGAGAGCGTGAACCTGTCAAGTCATGAGATACTTCTACATGCTAACTCCAGCCTACTAGCTAGAGCACAAGGCAGAGCCCAAACCAGCAGGAAAACTTGCTTCACTAACGAGACCGTTCTAGACACGTAACTAAATGGGGTCAAGATGCCCGAGAACATGTCCAGAGCTAGAGCAAAGGGGAGGAAATAAACTGACCATGTCACCCATATGAGGCTGAAATTCAAACTTCATGGGTGGGCAGAAGACATTGTTGTACATCTCCATCAGGCGCTGCTTGTCACTGTTGGCGTCCAGGTTCTCCACAGCATTCTCAATGGCATCAAGCCCTTCATGCTTCGACTGCTCCAGGTTCAGCTCAGCAGACAGGAACGTCCTGAGAGCCCTGTTGAGGCTTGCGTGGTAGCCCAGATCACAGCACTGCTGGAAAACAAAAGCAAGCAAATAGTTCCCTGTGAATAAGTGAAGGTGGCCTGAAACCAGACAGGTGGTAGGTAACCTTGTGATCAGAGCCATTTCAACCCTCACCCAAAACTGGGGCCCCGATCAGTGTTTCACAAAGACCCCATAATAAACTGTAGGAGAAGAGCTGCGAAACCTGAGGTCCTATATACATTTCAACACTCGCACTGAAATCAGCCTCTATAAAATCATCCCCGTCACTGAAAGTGGGTACCTCCTGCCTCACTGACCAACCTAATTTGTTAGAGTGAGGCTACTTGCCGTTAAAAAGGCTGCAATGTTTCATTCTAGAAGATGCCTTTCAATGATGGGAAAGTAGTTTCCTACATATCCCTTACCTAGCTCACAAGGCATCCATTTCTTCCTGAAAGCACTTTGAAGTCCATGGGTAAAGAAAACTTTATGAAAGTATTCCCAAAGCTATGTAGTACTATTTTTCACATTGGTTTTGGAAGGGCAAGAAGCTGATGTCCATTGAGCATCCAAACCATAGCAAGAATTGCCGACACTGCATTCAGGGTACCCTCGTAACAGGTTTACTTTGCTTTTAATACGCTTTCCACACACCGCTCCTTAAAAAGTGTATAGGATGCCCAGCTTTCTTATGGAGTGTTTTAGCCAGGTGTCCAAATTTTGCTTTTAGACGCTTTTAGACACTCATCTCAACCCTTGGGCAAATAAAAGGGGCACCAGTCTAAGTGCTAACGGGAGGAAACGTGCATAGGATTTGGACATCCTGCTAAGATCAGCGGAAGCCCGAATATGGGAGCCCAAATACAAAGTACACTTCATTGCCTTTTGAACCATCTTCTGGCCCTGTGTAACTGAGCCATAAAGGCCGAGTAACTTCTCCTGTCCAAGAAGCGTCCCTCAAAACGCACGGCTGGGACGGTTTCATTGCTCGGGTGAAAGCAGCGAACAAAAACCTTCATGCGAGAGAAGGTCATATTCAAGCATTTACTGGATGTTACCGACATTAGCATGACATCACTAAAAACCAATCAGGCAGCCTCCTCTGCACCCCGGCTCAACAGCCAAGTCCTAATGTTTCATAAGGGAGAGCAGCTCTTTTCATGACTTCATCAGAAACAGCCTGAATTTTTCAGACATCTAATAAACTGAACTTGAGAAGGGTCCACCTTCCAGGAATTGCAAGCAGGATTACATATGCTAGGAGAATATCCAAAAAGAAAGAGACCATCTGCCTGATTGCTATGCTGCTCTGTAAGCAAAAAATCACAAGGAATCTCCTCCTCCCCCATCATTTGGGTCTCATCATTGTCATATTGTAAGTCAATGCCTTCAGAAAAATAGAGACAAACGCACAGTCCCTCCCCTCCCAGCTTTTACTAGATTTCTGCCACTAACTGCTACTGCATGCCGGGAGTACTGTGCCAATAGGCTGTGGCAGGTGTGAGGCCCTTGTAAAGGAAGAGCAGTTGCTGGTTTAACTGGAAGCAGAGAATTAAAGCATATTAAATTCAATCAATAAGACCAAAAAAAACCCACCCCAGAACAAAAGCTGCTTGATTGAGAATTTGCACGTGTGGGGACGTTCTCTGGTAAACAGCGATTGTTGCTTTGCGTGCACATTAAATTTCCATGGCCCATGCGGCAAAATTTGAGGGTAGCCCGTTTCAGTTGGACCAACAGTCCAACCATGATTAGGGATCAGCTGCCGGGCTGATTATAGATGGACCCTCCATTTTCCTTAACAGGCGGGCCAGTCTATTGTGCATCCCACACACTGAGGATTTCATCTCCAGCGTGCTTGGCATTTTCGAGAGGGCTTGCCAACACGCACCAGTGCTACGCAACGCGCCCGAAAGGAGGAGCTCTGCCACGGCCCGAGAGGAATTCGTTCATGGGAACGGAGGGTAAAACAAGACCTTTCACATTTCATACCCCACCTACACGAGGGAACAGGAGGATTAGATTAAAAGACGGTGACATTTTTCAGCTTTACTTTGTAGAGGCTGGTGGCAGAGAACATTTTTCCCCGCCCCCGCTTTAACATTTCAAACCATCCAGAATATCATATTTATAAGTGTGTCAGTCTTGCGGGCCTTTTCTGGGTTATATAAATGTTTGATGGAAACATTCTCCTAGGAAATCAATTTTTTATAAGAATTTAATGATAGCTCATCCAAATTCTCTTCTCGACATGACAGCTGATTAACCCCTTGCCAGCTCGTGGTCTCTAAGTAAACCTAGAACACAAATTTGAGGCAAACTAACTCTGTTTTTACATTCATTTTCTGGTTTTGCTGGGTGGGAGGAATATGGGAGAGTTATGTGATTTTGGTGAAGGGAAAGGGAAAGCTTGAGTCACGGCAGATACAGTACATAGCTACATCTTCCCAGGACTGTAAAGCAAAGGAGGGGCATGCGAATGCACTCGCACATGCACGTGTGCACCCCTTCCCCCCTCATCCATATTCCAGCCTTAGCGACCCTTCTGCAAACCTGACGCACGTCTCTGGGACTTCACTACTTCATTAACAGCAAGGATCTGTCAGTCACAAGTCCGGAAACTCGGGACGCGTGGTGAATTCCTCGAACGACTCCCTGTTCTTTACTCGCCATTACTCCTAACGTGGACGCTGGACTGTGAACACAGTGCGTGATGTGAATAATGATGGCTTGAATGCTGTTGGCAGCCTTAAGCTATTTATTTACTTTTTAACTGCGTGCAAGTAAAGAGCCGTTAGCATGACTTGGTCTGACAGCAATACAAGGGGAAAAAGTGGATTAGGAACGGAGCGAGCTTTGATTTTCAAACCGCATAAGCATTTAAGCCACAACCTTCACAGGATTTTTATTAACGCTAGGTTTAAATCTCCCTATTTAAGGGCTGCGAGTTAGGAAGTCTCGTTGTCAGACCTAACAATCAGAAGAACTACTGGGCTCTATCCTCAGTTTTCATGCTAATTCCCCCGAGGGAAGTCTCGTCTTCCTCTGTGCCTCGGTTTCCCCCTCTGAAAAAGGAGGGGATACTGTAGTGTAGAAGTGTTTTGAGATCTACAGATGAATCATGCCATGTACATGCCTTGCACATATAACCGAGCAACTATACGGTTAATTTAATCATAGCAACAGATTAGTGAAATGGATGCGCTGATGGACACGGTGTGCTCGTCTTGACATGACGCACACGGCAGATAACTGTGTCATCCTGGCAGCCCGACTGCTCCTAGGGAGAAGAATCCTGCCATCTAAGCTGGATAAACTGCTGTTTTTATCTCTCACTTCCCTGGGATCTCCTTTCTGCATCTAAAGAAGAGTTAAGGATTTATCAAGGAAATCTAAGCGAGTTTGCTCCGTGCGGCACTTCACTCTACATGCCGTAAGGAAACACGCTGCAACCCGACAGTCTGGGAACTGAGATAACTGAATGAACTATACTGACAGCAGTTTTGTGAACCACGGCCAGGATTTTCAAAAGAGCCTCAGGGAATTAGGCACCCAAATCCTGTTCAATTTAAAAGGAAGTTAAGTTTCCAACTCCTTTAGTACATTTAAATTCTTATCTTACGAGCCAGCATAAGACATGCCCACAAAGTAGCAATTGGCTCCAAGACTGGAGATGGTATAATGTACACGTAAAGAAATGGGCTCCAAGTGCAGTAGCATCACTAGGATGCACCGCACAGCATGACCACACTCTTTAACAGGCAATCGCCACCTCCAAATACTGGGAGTTTTTAAAAAGACCTTTTATCCCAGATAGCTCCAGCCTGCCAAAGAGAGTCTAAATGAACATTTGAACCTAGCTGCAAGCAAGCGCCGTCTGTTTGATTTTATGACTGGCTGGATCATTAACGGTGGCTAGACGCAATGAATCAATACTGGTATGTGAGGATTCCCCCATCTCTCTCCTTCTCCTCCACCAAACAGCTCCGGGCTCAGCAGCGGGAGTTTTTTAACCTTGTTTGCACACGATATTCAGGTTGGCACCGAGAAGCAGGATGCAGGGAGATCCCAGCAGCAATCAAGGACTTGATAGACTACTGCATTAGTCCCGTGGAACTCTTACACTGGAGGTGAAAGCAATCGTTGATACCACCCAGAAAGACATGAAGTATCTCCAGGTCTGGAAGTGGCTTTTGTGAGTTCTCAGCAAGGGTTTGGGTGTTAAGTGAGAGGCGGATAAGTAACACCACCTTTTTCACAATTTATTCCTTTACTCCAGTGCCATAGGACACACGGTGAATGAATGGCCCTGGAGACAGAGGCCTTCCATTTAGCCACAGAGCACACAACATGTAAGCAGCTGCAGGACATGCTTCCTACACACGTTGCTCTCTGACCTTGTGCTTCGGGCTTACTCCTGAAGGGACTCTTGTAGGGCAGAGGTGGGGGGGTTTCCATAACCCATTCATTTCCTCACTCCTCCGCGTATATGACAAGGAACTTGGGAAGTGAAGACTCGCAGCACGATTGACAATACGGATGCATTTCCATCGGGAAACGGTCTGACACCACAGTCACACGATGTAGTCCCAGTAGCAGGACATGGAAACACATTAAGTCACTAGACACCTGGTGGGTTTGAACTAGCAGAAGGTCCCATACGTAGGCGAAAGGCTTTCTGTAGCTCACCAAACAGTCGAGAAGGGGCATGATTGATTCAGAATGTATTTAAATTTTTTTAAAATGATTTAAGGCAGTTTGAGGCCTTGCATCCACCCTCAAATCCCTCTGCCAACTGCTTTATGATTTTATAACCATACATCCTCTTTAAAAAAAATACCGTCTTGAAATTATGAAGTTGGGGACTGCGTAAAATCACACGTATAACATTTCTGAAAGGAACAACAACATAGACGTGCTTGGTTTCCTTTTAACAAAGCACCTCCCCTTCATAAATGTTTCAGTGCTAAGCCATTGTGCAAAATCCCCTCCTTTGTAACGCACCCTTTGCGGAGCACAGCTGTTTAAAAGCAGCTTCCTTAACTGCTTCCTTGCTGCCCCATCATATCTGGTATATGGCTGCCTGGGCTGTGCTGCAGAGTGGGTGCAAAGGATGCTTGGACACAAAGGATTAAAGAAGGGAGACGAGCATATTGGGGTTAATGGCAGCAACATTCAATATAGGCACCCAAGCAGCAGAACTTACATCAATGAGATCAGACAGGTCATGGATGTAATACTTGAACACAGACGCATTGGTGGCTTCCAGAGCCAACAGATACTCATTTCTCGCCTTAATGGCCTTCAGTTTATTTTCCGTGTATTTTGCTTGGCGCTGAAAAGAGACCAAAGAGAGGTCATTAAAAAGAAAGAAAGAAAAAGGGCTGGCATTCCTAGAGATGCAACAAACTGCACCCAGTTATTCCACCAATCTCCTGTGCTCTCTTTACCAAAATTCAAAGTCTTAATTTAAATCAACTCTTTGGAGCTTTTAAACCTGACCCTACCAGCCACCCCTGCACCTAAGGTATTCCCTGGGGGGGGAAAAAAAAAAAATCAAAACGCGAAGGCAGCGAGCAAGGGAATGGAAGTCTGAGTTGGCCGTATAATACTGTCACGTGCCTTACAGACAAGACACGTTAATTTTCCTCCAGACCTTCACATCCGCGCGAGCAGTTACTCCAATTGCTAGAGCACCTAATTTTCATGGGAGCTAGGGAATAGCATCAGCCCATGTTAATTTGCATATGCCACCATGCCATGGACCGCACGGGGAAAAAAAGAAATAAATAAATGGATGGCTGACTAACCCCCCGCAAAATACAAGGACCTTGCCCAATATCTTGCTACCCTAGGAAATGGAGAAAGAAATAAACTGCCAAACTCGAATTTCAAGGACAGTTAGAGTTACCTTCGAGTCAGACATCTCACTCGCAGTAATGAGGCTTCGGTTTTTGCTGCACCTATGCTCGCTGGAGGTAACTCCAAAACTCTACATGCTCCATTACCCAAATGTGCGACTAAGCTCTGCATTTCCAAGCTGTGCATCCTTAACCCTGTATTCGCACAGCAGTTTAGATCTAAACATCATTTTCATGGATGTTTAATTCTGCTCCAACCCACAATGCTCTCATTTCCACAGCACTGCTCTCACGCACCTTCTCCTTCATTTTCTCAATTTTCTTGACTGAGCTTCGCCGGACGTGTTTCTCTTCAAACCTGACGTTGGAGGTGGAGTCAGGAGAGCGTGGCGTCTGCTTGTCCTCTTGCCTCACTGACTTCCCAATCTGCTTTTCTTCTTGTTTTTCAGCCTCTTTCAGCTTGCTCTGAGCACTGATGCTGTCAGCATTGTACATATGGTAGGTCTTCATCACCTGCAGGAGACATCATTGCATAGTCACACAGTGGCATGGTTTCAATTGCTAAGAAAGAAACAAGCTTGTAGTACCCAAGAGCAAACAAAAGCCTTCTCAATACTGAATATCAGCCCCCGTTTCTAACCTCCAGCACAGCTGCCCTAGTACCGATCTCCAGTGCCAAACTTCTTTACAGCAGTGAAGTTCAAGACCGCTTGGAACTGGAGTGCATTGCAGCAGTGCACATCATGAGAGATGGCTTTCTACACTAGCGACCTGCAGGGTTCGGTACCAGCGATTGGCCCCCAGATTGCTGCAACTGGGGCAAAGCCCCACAGGAAGCCCCTAGATCCTTACAGCCTCTACTTCCTGGAAAGAGGAAAGGGCTTTCTGTCAAAATAACACGACAGAAGTTGCATGCTACAGCTCAGAAACCCCCCTACAAAAAAGCCAAAGCACTCAACATAAAGATGCTCCTTGGTGCACTCATTTCAAACATCTATCTGTTTTATGTACAAGAAGTGTGTCTCCAGATCCATTACTTTATTGTGGCCCAGTTCAACATTACATCCAAGCAAGGGCATTTCAGCAATGAATACAGCCAAATTTTTTGCAACTAGTCAATTCTATTCAGGGTAATCAGTATTGCTCCCTACCATCTGCCTCCTCCCCGAAACAAAGTCAAATGCTGGGCTTCCTTCATTACTGCAAGTACAGCTGAAGGGGTAAAAAAAGGCAGAGAAACTTCCAATTTGTGCTTTGCCCTTCTGGATTAGCATGTGGGCACCGGGTAGGAATATATGCATCGCTAATGCCATAACGAGAGATGCCTTTAATCATATTTCATTCAGGAGCCCGGCTGGCCTGAAGGCTTCTCATAGTGGAAAATAACTCCTGCTGAGGTACTCTCACATTGACTAAAGAAACTGCAAGGTGCCATCAGCTTTTGGAGCATCCTAGCCAGTGTGGTTGTCCTGCAGTTCAACTTAAGTTTAGGCATGAGGATGAGGAGAGCGCTTTTCTCCCTTAAACAGCTCCCAAACAGTTCATAAATGAAAAGTACTGATGGGCAAACCTTAGTCAGTTCAGTTCATATAAATCACCTTTTTCTCTTGGGTCCACAAACCCATCGGCTCATCTTGGCACTTGCATGTCTCAGTACTCCCATTTCCAGTTGGAACAGTTCAAAAATACAGTGAACACAAAAACTTGTGAAAAGCCAGCCCATTTCTGAACTTTGGAGATCGTTTTACTCTACTGTCCTCTAGTATTGAGTAACGCAGGAAAGAGAAAGAGAGCAAGAGAAAGGCATTTAGACATAATGGGCTTATCCATCCACGGTTAGAAAGGACTGTGTGTGTGTGTATTTATACAGGCGAGCGGGCTTTGCTAATAACTAGCTGGTACGTGGCAAGTACATGCCTTCAAGTACGGATGCCTCAATCTTGTGGCCCTAACTATAATTGAACTCCCACTGGCAGTCGCATCTGATTTACTTTAGATGCAAAGCCATTTATGCCCATTTCACCTTGGTTTGAACTTGCATATTATTTCACTTAAGTGGGATGTATGCTCTCTCCTGACGCAGTGAAGGCTCTCAGCTACAGGCAGAAGCTGTATTTAAACATGAAAGAGATTGTGATCACAGCCAGTCTTAAACAGAGACTTTCTGAATAATTTACACACAGACTAAGCTACCACATATGCCTAGGCCATAAAACAGGCACTTATAATAATAGCTCTAAGCTGCAAAGAGATCTCGCTTCCTCTGTCACTGGAAAGAAACCTGGCAGGGAGCAACCAAAATGAATAAAAATCACAATTTCTAATGACTTCATCCAGCTGATGATGCCTCATTGGCAGCTCCACACCTCCTACTCCATGTTTGGCAATAGGGGTAGTGCTGACTCACAGCTGCCTGCTGGGGTCAACAGCACAGTCAAAGATCAGATTTGACAGCAGGACCCACGACATAAATTTTCAGGAACAACGTACATAAAACAGATTCCACAAGGTGTTAACCAGAGGTCCACTTTTCCTTCCAGCTCATGCTCACTCACGAATTTATCGCAGAGTGTTAATAAACAGACTGCCCTTGCAGAGGCTTAAATCACTGCACCCTCTTCATCCAAAAGAGAAAAGGCTCTGAAACTTTAAACAATGGAAACAGCCAAGTGTCTAGGCAGTAACAGCAAGCTACTATTGGTTTTAGCAAAATCTGCCATAGGTAATGTGAGACTCAGAAGTTAATTAACTGTGATCACAGATAATACATTTCTAAGGCTGGCACCTAAAATCTGGGACTGAGGACAGTTGCTGCACGCCCTTTCAAACTGCAGAAGCTAGCACTCATCTGCAGGTGAGCAGAGGAGGGTGGCATAAGTGTATTTTTATGGGCATGGTTATGGTGATCAACTGGGATCTGCGCACACTGCGGTTGATGATAACACAGCAGGATAAAACAGTATTCACTTTTTTATCCTGCCAGTAGAGAATACCGTTTCCCTTGCAGACTCCAGACCCGAACCGCAACTTCGATTCTAAAGCGAAGCAGTGACTTAACACAACTTAAGTGCCAGGCTGCCAGGGAAGCACCCCGAGTCGGTACCCTTGACCACAAATTTTACCGAGACTGTGACACGATTGCATTTAACACCAGACTGAGCAGAAAAGCCTAGTCTTCACTCAGCTTCGCAGAACTCAGTCCAGGACAAACGCTCACTATTGCTGCTAGCGTCAACTGTCCATTTGCACGGGGCGATCGTGAAATCAGAAATCCCGATGACTGATTCATCTAGTTGTGAGCCAGTTGCTGAGGCCTTCCGAGAACTTCCATGAGCGCCAAGTTCAGCAAATTGCTTTTTCATGGTTTGTCCAGATTCCAGTAAAAAGAATTCAGTGAGACCAAAGTTACATTAGAGAAAAAAGAAGCAACTGCAAGCAGAACTGAATACCCAGCTCGAGCAATCATTCTTTAAAAAAAAAAAACAACACTTTTTTTTAATCCCATTTTACTGGTACAGGCTGCACATACTCTTTTCTACCTCTATTGTCTACGAATAAATGAAACTTCAAAGAACAGGACACTGATTTCTATTTGGTCTACTTGAAATCAGAAGCGACTGTCATCCTCTACACACACCAAGACCGGTTAGGACACAGACATCTATCTGCAAGTTCCCATTCACCCAAATTCAGCACACATCACCATTTCCAGAAACATCGGAAAACAATGAGCGACCACTAATTAAATTTAAAACAATATCTTCAAAATGGTTGGATTTCTCTCTTTTCAGGTATATTCAGAAAAAGGGATGATGATTTTAAATGGTGGGGGGGAAGGCAGGGATGTGAGGAGAGAGGATGAACTTCAGGTCTCTTACAGGGATCAAACAGATACTCACACAGTACTAAAATGTCCAGGATGAATTTGCTTAGCGAAGGCTGACTCTAGGGGATTTTCAGTGATGACGGAAGTTATCTCGCAACACTCAATACTTGGTTCAATGACCTGTCAGAGCCTGGTGAACTGACCATGCCTATCTTGGTATGTAAGCTCCTCTAGGCAGTTACCTTATCATCTCAAGTGCTGTGTATACTTACAGTGCAATTTAAGCATCTTAGCTCTTGAAAGACAAGGTCTGGAGGTGGGTAGTATTTCTGCTATAGTGCCTCACTCCTATACATGATACAGCAAACAGAAACTCTTATGAAGTTGAGTTTGTGCCAGGAAACGAGGTCATTCCTATGGCAGACAAACCTGCTGACGTGAAGTCATTTCTCAGTGCAAACTCATTCTACTACCTTCAATAAAACCAACGACATCTAATAAATAAGTTATGCAGAGCAACGCTGGACATCTAACAGCCGTAATGACCCAGCCACGTGATCCCTGGAACAAAACAAAAACAAAAAAAAAAATCTGGATGAAATGCCTCCAGATACCATCGTACTGGTGCTTACTGGCCATTGCTTAGTGAGCTGTTAAACAATCTTCACCAGGGATAAGCTGGCTGATTTAGTAATGCTAAATGCTCCCAGGAGAAAAGTTAGGACAGGAGGTAAATCAAAAGCAAGGCTTGTACTTCAGTCTCCTGCATGGCAATACCATTAAGTCATCAGGCCAGTCTCAAGGCAAGACTGCCAAGCGTCAGCAGCTGGGATGCTGAGCGCTGTACTAAAAATTCCACTGTAATTGTTCCAGCAGCAAGAACACTGGTGCATGCTGAATCGGCTTTTCCCTTCCTGACCTCCACGGCTTTTTCAAAGACCAGGCCAAACATGTGGTTTTAATGCTCTAAAAGCTAAGCTCATTCCTTTTGGGTTTTGCTATTAGACATACTTTCAGAAGAGCACCCTCCCCACTGCAACACTAGCGGCAACACCACAGCTCCACCCAAAGGTCCGGTATGCTTTGACTTCAGCATCACCCCTGGAGCATCTTTTCCTGGGGAGGAAATCAGGAGTGAAGGAATGAATTTGTACGTCACAGCAGAACGACCCAGGTCATTAGGCAAAACTTCAAGGCATTTTGAGCATCAAAATGTTACCAGGGCTCATTTCTAAAATAGAAGCAATTCCCTAACAGTTGCTGAAAAGACAGATTTAATCAACAGTGAATTTATTCCATTCAGCTGCACGAAAGACAACCTCAGGCAGCGCACAAACTTTACGAACATGTTTCTTCCCCTTCCGCAGGCAATGCCTCTTCCTCAGAGCTGGTGCCGGATACACTGCAGAGCAGAGAGGACAGATGGTGGGCTGTCTCCCCAGCGCTGCCTCGTTTTTGATGAAATGCTGGATGAGCAAACACGCGCTGCAGTCTTTTCCATTATAATCGCATGCGTTCTTCTGTATCGGGTGCACTGCCTGTACTGGACCACATGCAACTGCTATGCCCATCTGTCTGACTGAAGCACAAGGTCACCTTTAAGGGCACAGCTACACGTGCATTAGCACGCTTTAGGTAATGCACAGTAAATCTAGTACCTCAATTGTAAGCTACTAGGAAAATGCACATTAGCCCATTTAATGTGCATTAACTAATGTGCTACTCGTCATAGCACTGAGCCAGTGAGAAAGGGTCAAGCTAGCAGGTCTGAACAGGAAGCGTACAGGTGTAAAAGAGAGAAACGAAAGGAGGAGCCTGCAGTGAGAGAGGAGAACAAAGTCCGGTATGGGAGAAAAATCTCTGATAGGCATATCCTACATTTTGAGGGGCCTTCCCCCACCCATTTAAATATTTTCCTACACCATTTATTGCTAATGTAATTGCTTAGCAGCAACCAGTATTTAAACGGAGATGCCATCATCAAGAGAGGTCCAAAGAAAGAGCTTTCCTTTGTGGAGCACTGCGACTTCCCAAGAGCACTGCATCTTCCGAAAGTCAGCACTGCTTAAAGAATTACTTGTTTTTATTTATTTCGAGGGGGGGACAGAAACGAGGCCTAGCACAGCCATATGCTAGTCTGCCACAGACTCCTGCAGGAGACCAGGTCCCCAGTTTGGACATACTTATTTTTGATTCCAAATTCACCGGTGCCAGTGTTGCAGAGGGGCGACCAGTTCTTCAACAGAATAATTTCCGAAGCTATTGCTGCATGTCGCTGGGGAAGCCCTACAGCCTTGCCTCCGATATCTTCCAGTGCATTTCACCAAATCCAGATCATTAAGTACAGATGAAAAAAAAAAAGGAGAGCAGTCAGCCAACTCTCCCCTCTCACGGAGAAGGGCAGCACAACATTCAGGTTCTAATTTTAATGGCAAGAGCACTGCCAGCAATGAAAAATTGGCTCAGGATGGCAGCTCATCGCTGGCTGCCAGTTGACCTGGGTGGCTGGATGTCCCAAGGCTGACCTTCGCCTTATAAGTTCTAGCCCTTACTTTGAAACTACCCCCAACTTTTTGGCTCTCTTCTCAACTGCTCTTTAACAATTAAATAGATAGTCCTATGCCACCACAAGAGACCATCCAATTTCTAGCTCTAGGAGCAGATAATTAGTGATCTCATGAGATAACTGATGGAGCACAACAACTTTTAGGCAAGGCTTGATTTTTACCCCTAGGCTAAAGATAGGGTTGACCTAGTTAACAGCACTGTAGGCTAGCACAAGTCCGTGTGTCAGGAGGGAGAGAGAGATTTTACAAGCCTGATTCCACATGATCGTGGATAGTAAAAGAAAAAAACCCTGCAAGAAACACTAACGCTGGCTGGAAGCGAGCTACAATGCTGGCAAGCCATGAAGCAGCTTAGCCACACGATTCTGCCAAAGCCTTTAACTTCAAAATCCCAGGTATACCAGGCAGAGGGCTCCCATAAGCGGATGCAATGGAAGACTAAACTCTGGGTGCTGCAAACCCACCCTGCTTCTTCAAGCAGTCCCTGGGGAAGAGGATGCCTGGTAAAGGAGGGGATCTGGATACAGCATTACTGAATGGGAAATGTAGCAGTGATAGCAGAGAGAATACCTTTGATGGGTAATTTTAAGCAGCTGTGGGAGTGTCTGTTGTGGTAAAGAAGGGGGATGTCCGTTTGTGGCCTTTGGAGCTCTGAATTATATTGCTTTTAAATTTTTGTACGGCAGCCAGAGAACTGGCTGAGGGCTGTAGAAACATGTGTTGCATGCAAAATTAGACCCCCTGTTCTCACAGGCCAGTTACCTGCTGCTCTTATTTTTAAGCTCTTCAAAACATGAGAAAAAGTGATATGGAAAAATCTCCAGCATTTTCTGGGCTGCGGGGAGCTGGGCACCACTTACTCCCAAAGCTATAATGCTTCGCATGAGGTCGACTGCAGGACCCAGGAATTCACAGCGTGTCCCTGGAACCGCTGTCTAACGATAACGTTTTTGCGATGCACGCTTTATTTTGTTTTCAGGAGAGGGTTCATTAAAAAAAAAAAAAACAGCCTGAAAAACTGTGTGGAAGCATCATGTTCCAAGCATCTCAACCAGAGAACAAAAACACATTTATAACAGATTGTTTGGCCTTTAGGGGACAGCAGACTGAGGCTCAGCTGAGCCTCTAGGCTTCAGGCCCAAGGGGGGTCTTGTCCTGAGCTCTGTCCGCAGCGGCACACTGAGTTGTGACCCTAACACTGCTTGGATACGTTCTGGAGCCTGAATCCCCTCCCTCCCGAGCCCTCTGTAGTAATCAGGATCTAGAAAACAAACCAAATCAAAACCTACATTAAATCAATATGCAGAGGAAAATGCATTGTACGTGGAAGCCTGCTCTGCTTCTACATGTGCTCCGTGCAATTGTGGAGGAAATGGGGCAGATTTAAATAGGTTTGTTTGCATCTGCATACTAGGGTGTCATGGCTGTAAGGTTTTACTTCAAAAGCAATCCAAAATGCATACCCCCACTTTCATACTTTCAGTAATCCCTGTGGAACAAGTTTTGGCAACCGTTTAGATAACAGAGATACAACCTGAGAAGAAAGATGGAGTGAAAAAATAGGAATTTATGGTACCGTATAGACTGGTGAACACAAGCTGCCTCAAATCACAGAGGGTGGAGACATTCATCAGTCCCAACACTTGGTCTCTGCTGCAGCAGCAGGCAGGGGGAAGCCAAATGCTTCTTCCTTCTGCCTGAAAAGCAGCCAAGAAGTGAGTGTGATTTACCGTGTACAGTTCATTCAGGACCTTCATCAAGTCTTCCTGGAGCTGCAGTCCAACTTCCTTACTCTGCAGCAAAAGAAGGAAAAAAAAAAGAAAGGGAAATGAAGGTTAATAGGGGAAGATGGGAGAGGGATGGAAGAAGCAAGCCTGCAACATGCTGCAAATAATCTAGACCCAATTAGCCAGCATCATTTAACCTGACAAATCTAATAACCGCTCGGGTCAGGCCCGCTTATGGCCAAATTACACAAACAGTATCAATAAAATGAAATGTTATGCACACAACCTGGCAAATGCTATGACATGGAAAAGAGGTGGGGAGGAGGGCAAGGGAGGGGGCTTTAATTGAACATCAGTCTTTCATCTTGGCAGAACTGGAAGCACTTACGCTGCCTGCTGTTGCTGGGAGCTTACAGAACAGCCAGAGGTGAATCAGGACAATTTGATGTGTAATAATACAGGAGTGGAGGCGATGCTGGGCAGAAGGGGCAGGGACATCATCATCAGCCACTTCCTGGAATACAGTTCTTTTCTCCTTCAAAAGGTCTTGCAGTACAACACCACCACTGTGCAAAGCATCCCCCTTTCGCCAAGGAGCAAACAATGACAGGCTTCTAAGGAAAGGGGGCACTTAATTACCGTTGTTGCACCGCAGGACTCCTAACCTGAGGATACAGAAACGCTGGCCTAACCAGCTTCACGCTATAACACCGTAAATTCAAACCTGGAACCTAACATACAGGATCAAGGATTCAGATATAAATAAGCATCGCTCCAGCACCTCCTACCCAAATTCCATCCCAAAGAGGGACAGGAGGGGAAAGGAAAGTTGCTGCCACTGTAAATAAGGCTTTGAAACCCAACATGTTAATTCCTCAAAAAACATACACATTTCTACACCTGGACTCCAAAGTGAAGATGGCTTTTTTGGAGAGAATTTGAGAGGAAAGCAAAGAACGGTGCCTGGGAGGTGAGCAGTCTTGCAGCAGAGCCCCAAGAGCCGTGCCCGGGGTGGCGTTCTTCATAGCATGTTCCTCTTCGTGCCTTTAGAGCTGGGGGCCAAGTCCCAAGAACGGGTAAGTCACTGCTCACGTGGACTGCGGTGGAAGAGTATATGCAGCCCAATAGCTGACGTGCCTATTTTTGAATGCGGTGGTAACGCCAAGATTTAAAAAAAAGGACTCCATGCCTACTTCTTTACAGTCACGCGCTCATCAGTCATATTGCCCAATTTCCACTTAAAATTATAAAGCCAGACATGGGATTTACCTCAGCAGACAAAGCTATCAGCTATTTTTAACTGCAAGAACTACCATACAGTTTTAACTGCATCAACACGCATCGCTCTCCAGCAAGGACCACTTGCAACTGTGAGCTGCCCAGGTCTACCCAAGGCAATGTGACTCATGAGCTTATTTCCTTTGCTAGGAAATATTAAGATAAGGAAAAATAAGGGCAACCAACACACAAATGTGAGTAGGTGTCAAGCTTGGTCACGGATGGAACTAGCCTGCAGCCAAGCGTCCGCCTTTAAAAAAGAAAAGCCGTTCTATTTATTTTAAATTTCTTGGCAGGTGAAGACAGCAGGCACGTCTGCTCTGCAACCAGGCAAGGCCGCCACGTAAAAAACTGCCGCGCTGGTAATACCTCGGCTCTAGCTGAACACAAAACAGGTAGCACAGATGGCACACGGGCATCTCCCTCTCTGGTACAGACCTCCAGACCGCCCGCCTCCTCACGTCTACGTCACTCGGAGATGATTGCCGAGGTACGCCGAGTCCTCTTGCAGTGCACGTGCTCATGTGCTGAGACTGCTCCCGAAGCTCTGCACTTTGAGCTTCGTTTCTGGCAGTGTTTGGCCCTCAAGCTGGTGCCGTGACTGCCATGGCAGTTTAATCACGAAATCTGCCTTTGGATGCATCAAAAAGCATAGGAAGACCGCTAACGATCGAGCCAAGTGCGTGCATGGACAAGCACCCACCCAGACAGCCCATCCTTGCCTTATGCACCTATCACCGAACATCACACTTCCATCCACTGGGCTTTTTGCTGGCCTAACAACTCCTTTCTCCTTAGCAGCAGTGTAAGTGCGCACGAGAAATCCCTGTGTTTGTTTTACAACTGCCTGTAATACTTGCATAAGCACACAGCTCCCATAGATCTCAGCTTGGGGTACTTGAAAGAGATTGGAACCAATAAAATTACAATTAAGCCCAGGCAGATGTTTCCTTTCTTGCTGCTGACAACGCCAAAGAAGAGATGTCTCAACTTTTATCCCTGTTTATTTGAACAGGCTGCTGAAGCGATTTTGACTTACTGCTTTAACCCCGGTTCCCTATGGAGTACATTATTGTGCTTGATAACCAATGTGAAATTCTATACTGTTTAAAATGTTAAAAAAAAAAAAAGAGAGAGAGAGAGGCCTTCAGAAACTCAAAGCCATGCTGACACAGAGGCTGTTAACAATCACAGCCTTGTGAAAGGCATCCAAGATTGCCATGCTTCCTACTGGAACTGTGACTTTCTGATCCACGGTGCCCTACACCGTGCCCCTCTTAAAAGCTATGTAATTAACCACTGTTCGCTCCAACGGATCACTTTATAAGCCATCTGCATTTCAAGGGGGAAGTCCCCTTCAATGAAAGCCTAACCTAAGGAAAAAGGACAATTATTTGCTCACATGAAACCTGATGAGGCCCCACTACGATAAAGCAACTAGTTCTTTGCAGCCGTCCCAAACACTCTGCTCCAAAGGAAAAAAAAAAGTGGGGGGGAGGACGGGGAGGACTAAGAGTCAAAGATTAAAACAGAGCCGTCTTTGTAAGTTATCAGACAAAAATGTATCTCTTTTCTTTAAGCATCATGGAAGAAAATGAGTCATCTAAATAGGACACTGAAGGGGGGAAAAATAAGCTGCTGAGGGTGGGTGTTTTGAAGATCTCTTCATAAATTGTTGCCCGAAAAAGAGGCCTGGATTCCACGTTCAACAGGAGTGCATGCCACCCAGCCACAGCTACTTCCAGGAGGGTTTCAATTCTCCAAGGGTGATCAACAATGATGTCCCTTTAGGTTGGGCATCCTTGCAAGCTGCAGCGGTGTCATTAAGGGGCCAGCATCCTTGCTCAGCTGTGCCACGCCAACTTGTCTTCAGAGCGGGTACCACCACCTATCTATCAGTAGTTAACAGTACAAGTCTCTGACATGCACGCACGTAGCACTCCCAGCACAATCCTTAACACTAACTCTCCCACCTATAATTTAATAGCTGGGTTTACTAAGAGACCTAGGAGAGAGAAGCACGGCTGCACCAAGTAGTTTACTAATTTGAATGCACTTCATTTTAAAGAGGGGGATGAGGGGAGCAATGCCTCAATCTCCCCACCCTGTCCGGTCCCAAAGCAGCCAGGCTCAATGGACATGAACTAGCCATTGGTGGGTTTTTTCTTTGCTTTTGTTTTTCTTTTTCTAATTAACAGGTGCAAACCCATCTAGTACAACATGCAGCAAGAAGTAATTTTATCCAGCTTGCAGATTTGATTCATTCACTCGGCGTTAAAGCAGCACCATTCACGTCTTGGCAGATAAGGCTGTATCAGCATTTTAAATACTGAATCCAATTTTCTACAGGGTTAAATTGCAGCTGCAGTTTGGCACACAAAAGCTGAAAGTCTAGGAGCAGTCACAGATTCACATACGTTCAGGGCTGGAAGGGGCCTCGTGAGATCATGGGTCCAGCCCCCCTGCTCTGGGCAGGAAAGACTGCTGAAGTCAAATAACCCCAGCAAGGTTAAAAAAAATGAGGAAAAAAAAAATCAGACACCAGTTTGGCCACAGTTAAACTGTGGACCAGGGGGGCGCAAACATAAAACTTACCTATTTTTTTTGTTTGGGTTTTGTTTTTGTTTTTAATACTGTGGCAGCTTCAAGGATAAGTGTGCAAAATGTGCATTCAAAAAAACCAAACTTGCTTACAAAAAAAAATTCTCCTCAAGTCTTTATTTCAATGCTCTAACACTACTTCAGCTTATCAGAGGAAACCAGTACTCCAGGCCAATGGATTAGGTACCAAAACTTGGAGGAGTTTTAGATATATGGACCCAAAACAAACAACAGATACGTGATGGCCAGTGGAACACTGCTGACCTTCTGTTATATGTTTAAGAATGGCATTAGTGTGAAAATCCCAGAGACATGCTGGGAAAAAGAAGCTGGATTAAGAGGCCTACTGCTACATCAAACTTCCCTCCTTGCTTAAACAATTGCTTTATTATTTTGTTCCATTTCTTCATTTTTACTTACGTAAACTTCCAAAAAGTTTGCAGTTTGATCCCTATGACCCAAACCGTGTCTTGGCATAGAACGGGCTGAAGTGAAAATAGTTTGCCTTACTCACTTGTGACCCTAATAAAAAAAATATTCTTAAACCAAAATAAGCAGAAACCTCTGAAACCTGAGTTCAGATAGTTTGAATTTTCATATATTCCAGGCTCTCACACCCCAAACCCCATCCCTGGGTGGCCAGATGCATTGGTAAAAAAAATAAAATAAATAAACTTCAGGCTGGAGCCAAGACAAAGAAGTATTCTACTTTTGCAGTTGACTTTAACATTTAAAGAAGCGGAGGGAGAAGAGGGGGAAAGAATCAATGGTTCCCAATCTCCGAGGAATGTTGCAATAATATTCTCTGCATTCTTTCCACCATCCGGCAGAGGAGAAAGCCAAAGATGCTGCTGATCCCTGAAGTCATGCAGTCCCCACGATTTTGTGGCTGCCCTTTTCTTAATATTAAGGATGATTAATAAAACCAAAAGGCTGGTTCTGCTTTTAATGCTCCGGGCACTGAACTTTTCACATAGAAAGAGTTGTTCAGCAGCATGCTTTGTTGTTCAGCAGCGTATGTTGTTCAAACTGCCTCAACTGGCCCAACCATCTTCCTTTCACCCAATTCTTTGCATGCCAGTTGTCTGCTTCTGGCCTAAGACTGCTCATTCAAAGGACACACTGTTGGAACAGCAACTGTTTAGGATGAGATGAACACCACTAAGACACTAAAGGTGCAAATTCTG